CGCTGTTGTCCTTCTCCTGCTGCCGGTGGGGAGGGTCGGGATGCTCCTGCTGTTAAACCGCGGAGCACCTTCCAAAGCGAAGCCTGGGGACGAAGTTCTGGTTCAGGGCCGGCTGCCGAGCCCCGCGTGGTGCCGGGGCGGGACTCGCCTGGGCCACGCTTTTCCTGCCACCATTGTTCCAAGCTCCGGGGACCCAGACCCTCGGCGTGGTCGCCTGGCCTAGTGCTGAAGCGACCCCACCGTCACAGTGTTACTGCCTGCCCTTCAGGAAGAGGGACGGGGCTCAAAGAGGAAGTCACTGGCCGGAGGGCCTGGCAGCCAGAGGCCTTGTATGTTAGTTCCTTTCTTTAAAAAGCCCTTTCCCCAACAGTAGGAGGCCCAAGTCCCAATCTGCCCTGGGAGTCTGAGCCAGAAGGAAAGAAAAGAGGGGGCGGGGGGAGGAAAGAAGGAGAAGAAAGGACGGAAGGGAGGGGGAGTGAGAGAAAGAGAAAAGATCTGGGGATGTATCTCAGTGCAAAGGCCCTGGGTTCAATCCTATCCAGGGCTCACATGACCCCTGCATGACTTGGCTTCCAATGATTCCATACAACCCGCTGTGCAAGGAGCCAACTTAGGCACAGCCCTTGTGTGACCTTGTGCCTCTCTCTGGGGTCAGTTTTCCACATCGAAGGAACGGGCACTGACTGCAGAAACCTGGGTAACAAGGAAGGAGCAAAAGACAGGCCCTGGAGAGTCACTGGTCCTGGTCTGTCCACATCCTCAGTTCCTCTCCCTGACCAATCCCCTTCCAGCTGCTCTGTCTTACTTTTTACAGTCAATATACATTTATTTTGAGACAGGTTCTCACTTTGTAGTTCAGGCTGGCCTTGAACTCACTATGTACCCCAAGATAGCCTCAAATTTGGAGCAATCCTCCTGCCTCAGCCTCCTGAGAACTGGGATGACAGGAGTGCACCACCATGCTAGGTGTCGAGCTGTTAATGGTGCCATTGTTCCCATCCCTGAGGGTCACTCTGGGCCCCCTTCAGTTCTGTGTGCTTCCTGCCTCACCCACCAGGGAACCTGTCTGGCTTGGGTTTCTGGAGACTGTTGACAGGCTGGCTATAGCTCTGCTTGGCCTCACAGCCACCTTCGGCACAGCTGCACTCTCTCCTACCTGTTGGCTTTTGTGTCCCCCAAGCTTCCCTCCCACCTTGACAGCCTCCTTCTCCTCTTCCTCCTCCTTTCCCCTCTCTGCACTCCTTCAGCACTGTCCGCTCCACCCTCTTCCCACTACAGCCACATCCTGTTCTCAACTCCCCCCTCCCCAGCATGACACCAGCCAACCCAGCACCAGCCCTGTGGACCCCACTTCCATAGTAGCTCTCTAGAATCCATCCACTCCCCACCTGCAGAGGCACCTACAGAGCCCCCCCCCAGGGGGCTGATCACTCCCCATAATGCCCTCCGTGGCTCCCAGTGCCTCTGATGTAAAACACACACCTGGACCCCTGCGTGCATGGTCTCCAGCTGCAGCACCCTGTAGTCTGACCTTTGTTTTCACCCCAGGGCCTCTGTCCTGGCTGTGCCCTCTGTCTGGAATGCCCTTTCTCCCACTCTGCCTGGCAAACATCTGTTTAGCCTTCTGGTCTGGTCTTAAACATTACTTCCTTGAAGGGGCTTCCCCCACTCCCTGGTCCAAAGATGACCCCCTCCCTAAGAGGGGTACTTTCCTTTTGGAGGACTCCCATCAGCTGTCACTGTGTCTTTATTTGTGGGGCTGCTGGCCAATGTCTGCCTCCTTGCAGACTGCAAGCCCCCTGCGGGCTCTCTGGTTTACCCTCTGTTGTTATGTTGTATCCCTTAAGCCTAGCACAGTGCTGGGTACCCAGTGGGCACCCAGATGCACCTGTTCTGAGGGACAGGCATAGAGGTCAGGCTGCGGAAGCGGTCCCACTGCCAGCTGTCCAGCAGGTGGCCTCCTCTGCACATCTGTCCTCCCTGGGAGTCGCTTCTCCAGGGGACCTGGGCCCTCCAGCTCAGATCCTTCCCCTTCCTGCCCCAGAGCCCTCTGCACCTCTCTTGATTCTTTGAGGCTTCTTTGAGATTGTTGCCTCCATTTCTTGCGGGAACCAGGGGCTGTGGGAGGCTGGAGACCTGACCTAACCTTTCTTTTTGCCTTGGTGCTTTTGCAGAGCTCAGGCCACACAGTGGGTGGTGGGGCCCCTGACTCAGCTGCTTCTGCTTCTGGGGGCTGATGTCAAGCCTTTGGGGCCTGCTTGCCTAGGATCCCTGCTCAGTTCTATGGTTTGCTGTCAGGGACATGTTCAGCAAGTTTTAAAGCAGTCTGTGGTTTATTTTCTTCCTCTGTGAAGAAGTTGGTGGCACCTGCATTCCAGGGCTGTTGTGAGACTAGAACGGGGTCACACATAAGAAGAGTTTGGAACTGTGCCTGGTGCATAATCTATACAAACAGGAGAACTTTTATTATTGAACAATTCTTTCAATTGTTCAATAATTGAAACCCCCTACCCTGGCTGAATATGTTTGTGCGCGCCTGTACAAAGTGTGTGCATACATACACACACAGGTGCAAAATACACAACTCTCCCAGCTGCAGCAGAGTGGGCCATGGTGCCACCCACGTGAGGAAAGAGGGGCCTGGCCCTGTGCCTCCTGCATCCAGTGCCTTTGACTTGGCAAGACAGTTGCCATAGCAATAGGTGACCAGGCCTGCAGGTGGGACAGTGGCTTGGCGGAGCTCTCTGGCTTTGTAGAAGGGGGCAGCTTCCTGCCAGGGCACAGCCCTCCTGCACACCCAGAGGCACCTTTGGCCCTGGGCCCTGGGAACTCAGACACTGAACCAGCACCGATCTGCTGCTCACATCTGGGCATTCCCCAGCCCCACTGGGCACAGGCCTCTCATGCCCATTCCTCACCTCCACGAGGAAGGTCAGATGTGAGCCTTTCTCCTTTCACTGATATGAGCCCCTTGAGAGTCCAGACTACCCCCGGCACTTAGTGGGCCTCTCCTGAATGTTTGTGTGGTGAATAAAAAAACCAAAAAATGGCCAGGCATGGTGGTACACACCTATAATCCTCAGTAGGCTGAGGCAGGAGAATTGCCACAAATTCAAGGCCAGCTACTTAGTGAGTTCAAGTTCAGCCTGAATCACAAAGAGAGACCCTGTCTCAAAAACAAACAAGCAGGGCTGGGGATTTAGCTCAGTCATGCTACCACTTGCCTTGCAAGCACAAGGTCCCGAGTTCAATCCCTGACACCAAAACCAAACAAACACAGCAATAAAAATGAATTTCTGCTGGGGATTTAGCTCAGTGGTTCCACCGCCTGCCTTGCAAGTGCAAGGATTCAAGTTCGATCCCCCGGTACCAATAAATAAATAAGTAAATAAATAAATAGAAAGAATTTCTTCTCACACCTTGAGAAGAGTTCAGTCTTGAAACATAACTGACCTGCTTTAGTGATGACCTATTTACCCTGCATTTATTTAGTACCTATGGTGTGTCACACATTGCTATAGGCCTGAAGCAAGGGCCTTCTTGGAAAAGGGACCAGCAAGTGCAAAGGCCCTGAGACCCATACTCTGCCAGTTTAAGGAACTGAAAGAAGTGAAATTGGAATGTCTTGGGGCCTGGTACCACAAAAAAAAAAAAGAAAGAAAGAAAGAAAGAAAAAAAAAGAAAAGGAATGTCATGGGGGAGGAGATGGTGAAAATAATCCACAGAACAAGGTGCACTAATTGCACTACTTGATGAGTTTCACAGTGTGTGCGCCTGTGTAATCCCCACTCAGACCAACCTGGAGAACATCCCCTGCTCCCCCCCGAAGGTTCCCTAGTGTCCCTCCCTGTCCTTGTTACCTCTCTGTGGCCTCAGGCATCACAGGCGCCCTTGCCTGTCCCAGGACTGTGTGTCACTATGGAATCTTCTTGGAATCCAAACTGTGCTCCTGCCTGGGTCTAGCTCCTCCACTCCTCACGAACGCTCTGACCTTCACCTTGCCCTTGCCCACACAGGCAGTTCACTCACCTTGCTACAGGGCCCTGTTCCCTTCTGATGGCATTGCCGCGTGCTTCTCTGTCCTTCCCCTGGTAGATGTGAGTTGTTCCCAAGATTCTGGCTGTTCTGAAAAAGTGTCGAGGAGCATTTTTGAATGTGGTGCATTGAGCACCTACTGTACTCCAGGTCCCCCGTGGTATTATGTCATTTGCTATAATCCTCACAGAAGCACTGCCAGAGACTCCACTGAGCCCAAGACTGCACAGAGCACAGCAAGGACTCGGCCGACTCTCTGTCTCCGAAGCCTGACCCCCTCCATGACCTCTCGCTGCCATCCAGCAAAGGTGAAGGATGCCAGGCTGCAGAGGCTGAATGAAGCCCTTGGCGGAGTCTTTGGGGATGGGGCAGGGCAGCGTGTGTGAAGGTCCAGGTCTTGGTGACTGTGAATCCCTGCTGGGCTCCCCAGCCTGGATTCTGCCCAGGGCTGCTCAGGGTTGGACCCATTCCTGGTTCTTGAGCCCGCCTCTTGGCCACTTTCTGTGGCCCGGTGGCCAGCCTCTTTGTATCGTGGCACTGGCTGGTGCTAGGCCCGGCAGGGATTGAACTGGGGGTTCCTGGCTGTCACTGCCCCAGGGGCTGCCAGTGGGGACACAGGTGACTCAGAGCAGGCCTTAGGACCCGGGGGACTTGTTAGGGAGGCTTTTCCGTTTTTGGTTTTTCTTTTTTGGGGGGCAATTATTTTCCCCAATTCTACGTATCATCCTTTTTTAAAAATGGTTTTAAAATATGTGTAACATAAAAGTTAACACATTAGCCATTGCTGTCAGCCATCACCGTCACCTCCAGAGCTTTTCCATCTTCTCAGACTTAAGCTTTGTACCCACTGCACACCAACTGGGGTAGAATTGTTTGTTTATTTGAGCCAGGGTCTCTCTGTGTAGTTCAGGCTGGCCTCAAACTCACTGTGCAGCCCACGTTGGGCTCAAACTTTCAGTGATCCTCCTGCCGCAGCCCCTTGGGTGAGCACTGCGATTACAAGCGTGGGCCACCACTCCTGTCCCGGAGTGTCTTTTGCATGTGTGTATGAGGGCAGGAGGGAGGCAGCCAGAGAGGGGCTTTCCTGTGTCTCCTTCACCCCTCTCCACCAGGCTCACCCTTCTTTCCCTCCAGGTTCCAACTGCCCTCCCCACCTCTCCATCCCCTTCCAGAACAGTAGCTGTTCTACACGCGTCCTGCCTGCTGCCCAGCTGCCCAGTGCTGCACCCTCCTCAAAGACTTGCAGCCAGGCCTAGGGGCGCATGCCTGTGATCCCAGCACTCTGGAGGCTGAGACAGGAGCATCACTGCGAGTTTGACGCCAGCCTGGACCTATAGAGTGAGTTCAAGCCCAGCCTGAACTACATATGGAGACTCTGTCTCACACCCTACCTCCCACAAACAAAACAAAACAAACAAGCAAAAAAAAAAAAAAAAACAAAAAACAAAAAAAAAAAAAAAAAAAAAAAAAAAAACAAAAAACAAAAAACAAAACCAAACCCCAAAACCAACAAAGACTTGAAGTGGGGGTCATCACTGACAGACAGGGAGGTGGCTGGAGGGGTCTCAAAAGGGTATTTACCTACAGGTCTCTCAGTGTAAAATGCCGACTAGGTGTGAAGTCAGAGCCAGGGGATGGGACGAGCTGGGTGGTGAGAGGGAAGAAAGGTTTCATTCTCTCCCAGCACCTTGGGAAAGTCCCCTCCACCCAGGGGCACCTGGAGGTGGAATAACAGCTGAGGCCTTGCTGATCCCCACCAGCCTTTGAAAGTCCAGGAGGCTTAGCTGGCAGCCCAGGAGTAGGGTATGGAGGGACATTTCTCAAATATTTGATATGCAGCCCCTGGGAGAAGGACATGTGCTCTGGTGGTCCCAGAGGGGTGTGTGTGTGTGTGTGTGTGTGTGTGTGTGTGTGTGCGTGCGTGTGTGCACACGCACATGCTCGCATGCTCGACAAAACCAGCTGGAGAGTGAAGGAAGTGACTGGGAGGTGGGTGTCAGAGTCACATGCAAAGCAGGATGAAGGACATCCAAAGACCCAGTGTAACTGTGCAGAAAAGCAGGCTGCCTTCAGGGGAGGGAGCTCCCCGTCTCTGGGAGGAATTCAGTCAGTTTCATGGCTGAGCATAAGGGCTCTGGAGTTGGGGAGGTTCCTCACCTGTGCGGTGCCTCTTGTAGAACAAAGATCGACAGACTCTGTCTTGTGGGTTTTATGAGGATCAAGGGTTCACAGTGAAGTCTGACTTGGTTTCCAGCATGGGGAAAGGATGGACGTCCTGCTGCGGAGATGCTGGGGTGAGGTGGGGAGTTAGGTTACATCCTTTAGCCATGAGGGTTCATGACAGGGGACCCACGAGATCATTTTGACAGTGCCTCTGAGTTGTCTGAAGTTTGTCACCAGCTACCAAACAGGCAATTTGTCCACCCACCTGATATAGATCGGGCTGGGAGCTGTGGCGCATGCCTGTAATCCCAGCTCTCTGGGAGGCTGAGGCAGTAGGGTTGCAAATTTAGAGTCAGCCCAGGCAACTTAGTGATAGATACCCTATCTTAAAATAAAATCAAAGGGGCCTGGGGATGTAGCTCAGTGGTAGACCCCTGGGCCACACACACAAACACACACACACACACACACACACACACAGTATCCTGTGTTTATGTACAAGGCAGGGGTGATGGGTGCTTATATCATTTTGCAGAGAGGGAGGCCAAGGAAGGTGCTTCGACTTCCACAGTGTGGGTGTTGAGAGGCAGGAGCAAGGTTGGGACTCAGGCCTCTGAAAGCCTGGTCCTGGCCCTTTCTAAGGCCATCCCCATTTCCCTCTTACTGGCAAGAAGCCCCAGATATTAAGATATGTTATATATGTACTGATTCCCCACTATGAATGTCATTACATACTGCAAACATGTACTAATAAAAAATTTAAAAATAAAAAAAAGTCCAGATTGGGCATTAGGGAGATTGCCCCCCCCTTTTTTTTTTTGGCACTGCGGATTGAACTCAGGACCTTGGGCTTGCGAGGCAGGTGGTGGGTGGCACCACTGAGCTAAATCCCTAGCCCAGTCTTTTGGTTTTTTTTGAGACAGGGTCTCACTATGTAGTCCAGGCTGGCCTCGAACTTGTAGCAATCCTCCTGCCTCAGCCTCCCAAGTGCTACGATTAAAGGCGTGGGCCACCACACTCAACTTGGCACCAGGAAGGTTTGAACAGAGGCTTCCTTTCTTTAGAGCCCAGGTGTGGAGCATTGTCTCCTCTTTGTCCCAAGAGGAGCCCTGCTCAGGACCTTTCATGGATATGTTGTCTTGGACAGAGCACAGCTGGCTTCAGTGTCAGTGGAGCCAGGAAAGGAGGAGGCAAAGGGTGGGACACTGCAGAGGATCACACTCATTCATTCCCTGACGCCTCCCCTGGGCCCACGAGGCTGCCATTACTCTCCTCCTGTAGCCACTGGGGAAACTGAGGCTCAGGAGCTGAGCTAACCCTCCACAGGGCACTCCGCTGCTGTGTGCTAGGGCCGGCACTTGAACCAGGCAGCCTGACTTCTTCACCCACAGAGGGCGAGGGTGCCACCGCCCAGTGGTTGCTTCCAGCCCCAGAAGCATCTGGATTTGGGGGGCTACCTGTGCTCCCCCTCAGCCACGGCCAGTGCAGCCTTGAGTAGGCTCTGATAGGAGCTGGGAATATTGCCCCAGGCAGGCAGCTGAGAGTCAGGTTAGCCCTGGCAGTCGGAAGTGGCGTCAGATTCCCCTGGTCCCTCAGTTCCTAAACATGGACACTGGGCTGCTCCTTACACCCCGGCCCTCCTGCAGGGGACTCAAACGGTCACACAGGCAGGCTGGAGGACCCTTGTGGTCCCTGGCTTCAGGTTTACACCTGCCTGGGGGTGCCTGGCAGGGCCCTTCCGGAGAGACTGTGACACCCCCCCCCCTCGTGTAGGTGAATGGACCATGGTGCCTGGTTTGTTCCAGCAGAGCAGACTGATGAGCTGGGAGGTCCAGATGACACCGGAGCTGCCCTGCCTCTGCTGGGGACTGCAAGTTAGCAAGGGGAGGCTGAGGGTGGTGTCTGTCCCTGCCCAGCAGCCCGGCTGTCAGCCCAGGGTCACAGAAAGAGACAGATGGGTCTATAAGGAGCTCCTTGTCCCTGGGAACAGTCAAGCAGAAGGTGACACCGCCCCTTGTGGACTTTGTCCAGGGACACCTCTGTGTTGGCAGGGTGCACTAGCTGAGAGCACACTTGGTCTCTGTCGCCCGCACTTTCCCGCCCCTTGATGCTAGGCGGCAGGCATGGGGTGAAGTCCACGGTGGCTCTTGAAGATTCCAGCCTGAAAACCCGAAGGAAGGAAGGAAAAGGCAGGGGACCACGTGCTGAAATCTCAAGAGCTGTCGTGTCTGGATGATGGGCAAGTAGGCTTGGGTGCACTATACTGTGTATTGGCTCATATATAAAATGGTCACAATGAAAATTAAAATGATTTCATTATTTGAATAGGTCATGAATGCCTGGGATGAAAGAAATCAGCTGTACAGAATTGCGGAGGATATGTCTGTTCCCAGCCTCCAGATTCTGTGTTCCATCTTGGGCTAAACTGTCTTGCTTCAGACACTTCCAAAGGTTGATTGCTTGTTTGTTTGAGACAGGGTCTCGCTATTTATATATTTTAGGCTGGCCTTGAACTCTAGGCAATCCTCCTGCCTCAGACTCTTGAGTGCTGGGATTATAGGCATATGCCACCACATCTGGCTCCAGAGGTTGATCTTCGAGAATGAGCCTTTGGGTGTAAACATGATTCAATTATTTATTTATTTATTTTTTTGAGACAGGGCCTCGCAGTATGGTCCAGGCTGGCCTGAAATTCGCAGAGATCCTCCTGCCGCAGCCTCCTGAGGACTGGGATTATAGGTGTGCATCATCACGCCTGGCTCCTGATTTAATTTTCTATTATTTGAAAATAGCTAACATGTCCACATGGAACAAAATTCAAAGACACAGACAGTGTACAGCGAAGTTTCCTTCCTGTCTAAAGTCCCAGCGCCCAGTTCTCTGCCTAGAGGCACTGATGGTTCCCTTGGCTTCCCTTCCCATCTGGGCATCTCAGGTCACAAGAGCATGTGAGTGTGTAACACACACACCTCTCCCGGCTGCTCGGTGTAGGAACAGTGCATTTCCCACCAGCCAGCCCCGCTTCCCTTCCTCCTTCCTTGTACCTCTCAGCCTTGGAGCTGAGTAGCTTCCCTGTATCCAGAGTTCACGAACATCCTCAGTCACTATGAGCCCTTTCTCTTGGGGTTTCTTTCACCCTCAGTCCTCTTCATCTTGCTCCTGTTTTTCATGGGCACCCCCGCTAGCTTGTTGGGTAAATATTTTCACACATTGTGCCCTTGTCCCTGTCCGGACCATCGCCACACTGCAGAGATAATTTCCCCATCAGCCTCATGTTCTACCCGAGCCGGTGGTATTTCCAGCTTTGGGGTTCCGTGGCTTACCCAGCCAATCCTCTCTCCATCCCAGGACCCTTTAGTTTTCTTGTCTTTCACCGTGGAAACTATGAACAGCCCCGTCCTCTTGTCAGTTCACACATGTGCTCGCACAGCTCCGGGTCTGTCCGTGCGGCCCCAAGGCATGAGGGTCTCTTCCCACCTGTATTAAAGCTGTCTTCTGGCACCAAGGGCTTTTGAGGTTCAGCAGTGGGGGAAGCCTAGTGGGGTAGGCACTGAGACTGGAATTCAGGAGCCGAGCCCAGGCTGGTGACCTTTCCAAGGCTCTGCCTTGGCCTCTGTGTCCCGGCTTCAGAGTACAGGACTTTCTCTGAGAGGGCAGGGGGCCTTGGCCTCGCCCAGACTCTTCTTGGTAACTCATGCCCACTGATCCGGGACAGGTTGGCCCAGGAGCTCCATTCCTGGGCTCCGGGAGCTCGTCCCATGCAGGCCGCTGGGAGGCTGTGTCAGGCTGGCTGCCTTGGCTGCCTTGACCCTGCCCCGCCCCCTCCACCCCCCGAAGCAGCTTCCTAAATGGCTCTGTCAGAGTGAGGCATCTTTGGGAGCCTGAAGTGGGGTTGCTTGGAGACAACTGGGCAACAGACCTGGGTTATTTAAAGGAGAGAGGGGTGAGAGGGGAGGGTGACAGCCTATTTATTTGGGGATGGATGGTCTCCCTGCTGCGTGCTTTCACAGCCCCTCCGCCCCCCTCATTCCTCCCTGTGTCCAGGGCCTAGGACTCTGCAGTGAGACCCAGCACAAGGCCACTGAGCCCCTGCCTGCCAGCAGTGGGCATAGGGCACTCTTCTTGTTCCGAGGGGACGCTGAGGAAGTGCTGGCTGGGGGCAGGGGGCCAGAAGTGAGGGCCACCTCAGAGAGGGGTCTGCTGATACTTTACTAGCTGCAGCTGCTACTCTATTTTGAGCTTCCTCTCAGACAGCTATTTGTTAAGGGCTTTAAATGTAGTAGTTCATTTAACCTCGCAACTCTGTGAAAGTAGGTACGCCTATTTCCATCTTATAAATGTCAAAACAGACTTGGGAAAGCTAAGTCTCTTGCCCAAGGTCACACAGCTAAGTGGTAGAAGCTGAATGAAAACTCAGGTCTGGCCAGGTGTGGTGGTGCATGCCTGTAATCCCAGCACCCGGGAGGCTGAGGCAGGAGGATAGCTGTGAGTTTGAGACCAGCCTGGGCTACCTAGTGAGTTCCAGGTCAGTCTCAACTACATAGTGAGACCCTGAAAAAAAAAAAAAAAACCAAACGACAAAAAACAAGCAAACAAAAAACCTCAGGTCTGTCTCATGCAGAAGCCTGAAGAAACCACCCCTCATTGCTGACATCTAGGCTATTTACATCACCTCAAGCTGCCCTGCTCTGGCCCCGCCCTCATGCTGTGGGAAGCTGGATGCTCTGAAGGGATTAGGTTGCCTGTCTGCCTCTGCCATGGCTTTGTGAGCATCTTGAAGCCATTGCAGGGCTTTGCTCACCTCTGTGCCCCAACCAAGGCCAGGCAAACAGGAACCTAAAGAAGGTTGTTATCCAAACACGATGGTGCACACATGCAATCCCAGCCCTGGGACGCTGAGGCAGGAGGATTTTGGGTTCAGCCTGTCTTAGCAAGTCCTTGTCTAGAAAGATTGTTTCATAGGGCTCAGATGCTCCAGCAGGTCCCCTCAGACTGGGTCAGACGTGTAGCCATGGGCCTCATTTCCTCCCCAGCAGTCCTTGGGAAGCAGAAGTGAGCCTTGATCTTATTGTGTCTTCCTCCTCTACTGCACTCCCTGTAATACCTGATTGCCTTCAGCCCTTGTGTGTCCTGGGCACTCTTCAGTTGGGCCCAGAGTGGTGCTGGGAGGGAGGAAAGCAGGTTCTGGTTCCTGGTTTCAAGGACCTCATGGTTCCAGATAGCATCTATCTCTCTTTCTTTTTTTCTTTCTCTGGTACCGGGGGTTGAACTCAGGACTTTGTGTTTTTAAGGCAGGTGGTGGTACCACTCAGCTAAATCCCTGGCTCAGCATTTTCAAACTATAGCTCACAGGCAGAGTCAACAGAGTGAGCTGCAGTCAGCAGTGACAAACACATAGAGGATGGGACAGATCAGTGTCAGAATGCAGCCACTGCAGTGGGGCTCAGAATCAATTTGAGGACATGGACATTCAAATGTCTGTGTAGCTGGCCCCATTGTAAAATGTATTGTTTACTTTGGGTTTTGGTCAAAAAAGTTACAGGGTTTGGCTATGGCTCAGTGGTATAGAGAATGCTTGGTACTCAAGGACCTGGGTTCAATCTCTAACACCACCATCACCAGAAACAAACAAAAAAAACCTAAAGTTTTTTTTGTTTTGTTTTTGTTTTTTAATAAGTGGAGTCTTGTAATCTCAGCACTCAGAAGGCTGAGGCAGGAGGAATGCCATGGGTTTGAGGCCAGCCTGAACTACATAGCAAGACCCTGTCTCCAAAAAAAAAAAAAAAAAAAAAAAAAAAAAAAAAAAAAAAAAAAAAAAACTCAACAAAAAAAAAAAAAAAAAAAAAAAAACAAAACAAAATATAAACAAAACAAAAAGAGCTGGAGACTTAACTTGCAGCTTTTGAACTGAGCTACATCCCTAGGCCTTTTAATCCTATTTTTAATTTTGAGAAAGGGTCTCACTAAATTGTTAAATTTCCCAGGCTGTATTTTGAGATAGGGTCTGGCTAAATTGGTAGATTGCTCAGGCTGCATTCCGACTTGTGATCCTTGTGATCCTCCTGCCTCAGCCTTCCAGAGTTCTGGGATTACAGCCTTGTGCCACTGTGCCTGGCTTGACCCTAAGCTTGAGGCTCGTGGGTGAATCTGGGAAGCGGGAGATGTGATCCCAGGATTTAGATCCAAAAGAGGACATGAACAGTACCGTTACTAATCCTAATCCAGTACTAACAGTACATCACTAAACCTGCTGATAATGTTGATGTTGGTTACCAGGCAGGTATTCCATGCAGGACAGAGGTGTTCCAATCCCAGCGCCCGATGATGAGAAGTGTGGGAAGGAGTCCAGAGTGCACAGACCATGCCCTGGAAGGAGGGCTCCAGGAAAGACGCCTGGAGAAGGGAACCCTGTACTCAGCCTCCAGAAACCCTCTCCCCTGGCAGGTTCAGGGCTCTATCCTAGAGTGAGCCGAGGTGGCAAGGATAGTGACAGTAACTGCTGCCATCAGCAAGCCCGGGTTGAGTGCCAAGCACTCCTTCAATCCTCCAGACATTCCCAGGAGGCAAGACCTGCTCTTCAGGCCATTTTAGAGTTGTGGAGAGGGAGAGGAAGATGGTTACATGCGGGGTTCAGGTCGCACAGCCAGAAAGCTGCTAGGGTTAGACTGGCCTGGCTCTGCCCAGCTCAAGCCCTGTCCGCCCATTGCACAAGGAAAGGGATCACATTAAACTCTGGGGCTGGATCTTGGAGCTGGGATGCTGAGCCAGGGCTGACAAGGGGTCCATCTGGGTGGGGACCCATGGCAGGGATGAGTTACAGAGCCTCAGAGACCACAGCTCGGGAACCTGCAGGCCCTAAGATGTTGGAGGGCCTATGGGGCCCACACTCAGCAGTAACGTCGTCACAGGGAGGGAAGTTAGAATGGCACCTGCCCTGACTTCACGCTTCCTCTGGCCTGTGTCCCCAGCCTTTGGGGACTTGCTGGGGAATGGGGAGCAGCAGGGCCTGTTTCCTGTCTTCTGTCAGGTCTACCCTTGCTGATCTGAACCCAGCTCTTCTGCCTGCTGGTGAGTCCCCTTCCGTCTGGGGTCTCCACAGCTGGTGTTTCCGCCAAACAACTGAACTTGGAGCTCTTGCTTGGTTGGGCCCAGGCCCTGTGGCTGGCCCCAGGCCATGCCATTGGGTGTGCTGCCTACACACACATTCTAACTTGTGTTTCCACACTCACTCTCACTGGGTCCTTGCACGCACATGCAGTCCCTTGTACACAACCTTGCATACTGGTACACATGCCTGCAACACAAACAGATGTGTACTCACCTTTGTCCAACACAAGCACCACCGGATCCC